GTAGCTCAACATAGATCTCTTCTTCAAGTGTTCCATTGAGAAAGGTGGATTTGACATCTAGTTGATGGATGTTCCAACCTTTTTGTGCAGCAAGGGCTATTAAAGCTCTAATTGTATCCAAGCGAGCAATTAGAGCAAAAGTCTTATTACAGTCGATTCCAGGTTGTTATGAGTATCCTTTTGCAACCAATCTTACCTTATATTTTTGTATGGTTCCATCAGGGTTGAACTTAGTTTTATATACCCATTTTACTCTAATGATATCTTTTCCATGAGGATAGTTCACAAGCTCCCAAGTATTATTCTTCTCAATCATTTTGATTTCTTCTTCCATGGCCTTGACTCATACTTCTTGCTTTGAAACTTCTTCGTAGCAAGAAGGCTCAATGATAGTCATGTTACAAGTTTCATATATATCCACCAAAGATCTTACACGTCTTGGTGTAGACTCTGGTGAAGTATATTCTTCTTCTTCTTGTGAAGGCGTACCTGGATCTCCTGTATCTTCTTCAGGTTGTTGTATTGGAACTAGGATGTTGCCTCTAACAATTTTTTCTTCTTTCCAATTCCAAGAAGCATTTTCGTCAACCTCAACATCTCGACTGATGACGAGTTTCTTTATTTGTAGGTTGTAAACTCGATAGCCTTTTGATTGTTGGTTGTATCCCAAGAATATTCCTCTTATAGTTTTGTCTTCAAGCTTATGCCTCCTCTGATCAGGAACATGTATGTAGCAAACTGATCCAAATATTTGTAGGTGTTTAGCTGATGACTTTCTTCCACTCCAAGATTCAATAGGAGTCTTGTTTTGGACTGTCTTAGTTGGACATCTATTTAGTATATATACAGCAATGTAAATTGCTTCTGCCCAAAACGTATTTGGCAAGTCTTTCTCCTTCAGCATTGATCTTGCCATCTCCATGACAGTGCGATTTTTTCTCTCTGAGACACCATTTTATTGTGGAGAATATGCGACTATAATTTGTCGCTCAATACCTTCATCCTCACAGAATTTATCAAATTTGTGAGAGGTGTACTCTTTGCCTCGATCGTTCCTGAGCACCTTTATCTGTTTTCCGCTTTGCTTTTCGACAAGGGCCTTAAATTTCTTGAATATTATAAAGACTTCTGATTTTGCTTTGATGAAGTAGACCCAAGTCATTCTAGAAAAATCATCAATGAAGACAATGAAGTACCTGTTGTTATTAAGCGATGGAGTCCTCATCGGTTCGTAAATATCTGTGTGGATTAACTCCAACAAGTCTTTTGCTCTCCAAGTTTTTTCCGTAGAAAATGGTAATCTATGTTGCTTTCCCAAAAGACATCCTTCACAAGCTTCGCTAATCTCCTTAAGGTTTGGTAGATCTCTCATCATGCCTTTTTTATGTAGTAGCTTTAAGGCATGAATATTGAAGTGGTCAAATCTACGATGCCATAGTCATGAGTCATCAATTTCTACTTTCATGGCAATGTTAGTTCCTTGATTGAAACTTATAGGAAAATTTCTATTTCTCTTTTCTATTTTTACTTGACCAATTTCTAGATTTTTCTTATCATAGATAGTGCATGTATCTCTTTCGAAGTGGAGAGTATATCTTTTCTCCATCATTTGACCAACACTTAAGAGATTCTCTGTAAGATTGGGAACTAGTAAGACATCATTGATAAGTCTCATACCTTTCTTGGTCTCCACCATAACACTGTCTTTTCCTTTTGACTCTATTACGATGTCATTTCCCAATTGCACTTGAACTTTGATGGAGTTATCAATTTCTTTGAAGATGCTTGGATCATTCGTCATATGGTTACTACACCTGATGTTCAAGTACCATCTTCATTTTGATTCATTATCAGAACATCTCGTTGTATAGAAGAGATGTTGTTCTCTGTCCCGTTCTTCGGCAAAATTTGCTTGTTGATGATTTTTGTTGCGACACATTTTCTCTACATGTCCAAATTTCTTAGAGTATTGACATTGAGGTTTTCCTCGATGCCAACAATCCTTTTCCAAATGACTTGTCTTTTTGCAAGTGCCACATGGAGGATATTTTCCTTGAATAGTCTTGGAAAATTTTCTAGAATTTTCCTTATTCCTAGAAAGTTCTCTATTAATTTTATTTCCTCCATTTTAAGACTGTAATTTTAGTTTTGATTGAAAGTAATTTTCAATTGAATCTTCTTCACATCTTTTCAATCTTTGTTCATATGCTTCAAGAGAGTCTATTAGTTGTGTCACCGATAATGTAGATAAATCTTTTGTTTGTTCAATTGCAGTTGCAATTGCATCATATTTTTGGGGAATAGAAATTAGAATTTTCTCGACAATTTTCTTATCAAGAATATTTTCCCATAAGCTCTCATCTGACTAATTATTTCTTTTATTCTAGAATAGTAGTCTTTTATGATATCAGATTCATTCATTCTTATTAACTCAAATTCTTTTCTTAGTGAATGGAGTTTAATATTGTGTACCTCATCGCTTCCTTGAAACCCCTCCTGAATTGTATTCCAAGATTCTTTTACACTTGTGGCACCCATTATTCTTGGAAAAATAGTGTCATCAACTGCTTGCTGAAGAGTGATTAATGTCCTTGAATCCTTCTGTTTATTTTCCTTCAGCTCCTTCCTCTGGGCAGTTGTAAAAGTTAAGATGTCTTCTGAAATAGTGAACACATCTTCTATAACGTCCCAAAGATCTTGAGAAAAAAAAGATGTCTTCATTTTGACTCTCAAAAAATCATAATTTTCTCCCTTGAAAACAGGGACTGGAATGGATGATGTTTGGTTGGTAGTGGCCATATGTTGGAATTTTTCTTTTGGAAGTAATGTGTAGTGGGATTAGGTTTTTTTAAGGTAGTCGAAAAATTTTCTCTACACCCAGTAGGTGACCGAAGGTAGCTCTGTTACCACTGTTAGTATTTTAGGAAGGATGGGAAAGATGGTTTGATATTTAGTAGTGATATTTGTGTAGAAAATAGTTTTTAGAAGGAGGTGGGCAAATAGGAAAATGTTTGTATGAAGGAAGATAGTAATTGATCTTGGAAGTGCTACAAGATATGCAGGAGCTTGTATTAGATTTTTTTCACACATACAAAGACTCTCTTCATACTTATTTATACGCTTTACTTATAAGATTCTAGAATTTTCTATTAATTTCATTGTTTCTACACTATTCTATTTTTACACATTTCTTCTTCTTCTTTTCTTTTTCTAGAATCATGTTATAGCTTCTACTAGTACACATGTTTTCTACATAATTCTAGAAGTTCTATATAATTTTAGATTTTCTTAACTTTAGAATTATCTATCTTCTACTTTTAAACATTTCTAGAATCTTCTAAGGATTCTAGATATTACTCATATGAAATTTCTAATTCTATTAATATCTAGGATTTTATATTCTAGATTTTTCTAAAATTTGTATCATCTTTTAACAGTTTCTCAACTCATCTCCTTGTTCCATCGGAGGACTTGATCCACTCTCTTTCTCAAATTCGTTCTCGCAAATCTTCTTACACTACTAGAAAAATGGTTAATAGTGACCGAAATTAGTAACCGAAAAATTCAGTCACTGATAGTAACTGAATCAGTGACTGATTTTCGTTTTATATTTAGTGACTGATTTAGTGACTAAAATTTCAGTCACGAAAATCGGTCACTAATTCGGTCACAAAATCAGTCACTGATTTACATCATTAAAAACAAATATAATATATTATCATTCTTCCATTCACATGAACAGGAAATCAAATGAGTAGATACAAACACAACATTAGAAAGAAGTTGAACGGGTTTATTATCAATACGAATATTTGTATTCTCTCTTCTTAAACTCCTTAAATCATCTTAGCCAACTAACATGACATGTGCAAGAAGTTGCAGCTACATACTCAGACAAGTAGAAGGTACAAAGAGGTTAAAGTAAACACACAATCACGCATAAAAATTACGAAGCCAGTAGTGTTTTTTTTTTCTTATCATCAATATCTTTCTTGCAAAATCAGTAACACATAGTCCAATGAACTTGAACTCTTTATAGAGAGAAAAAAAAAACTGTACATTTTACCTTAGGTGAGCATTGGATTTTAAAGATTCAATTCTAATCATATAAAATAGGGTGAGCATTGGTTAGATTTTGTAAAATTTAATTTTAATCATATAAATTACATTGAATGTAAAATCTTGATCAACTTAACTATATTAAATTGATTTAATTTTTTTTAATCTAATTTAAATTTAAATTAAATTCATATTTATTTAATAATTTAATATACATAGAATTAATTTGATTTAACTCAATTCAATTCAATCTGTTAAAACTGATCGAATTAAGACTTAATCTGATTTAATTTTGTACGACTTATCAAGCCCTAACTTAAATAGGATCCATCTATCTTAATAGTCCAACATCTGTAAAAACTAAATTTAAAATAAAAAATTACAACCATACTTAATCGTTTCGCTGTCATAATGCAAAATCATATTTTAATTTTTTAGATTATATATTTTCTACACCTCTACTAAATTTTTAAAATTAGTATAATTGGTCCTTCCATGCATTCAAAGTTATTTATTTTGACAGCAACCTTATTACTTTTTTTTTTTTTATTGGGAACAAAGAATAAAATTAATAGAAGTATAAGGAGTATTCAACCCAAATACATTTAAAAGAAATTAGATGAAAGAAAATAAAAATAACATGTTGGATCACAAAATTGGACAAATCATAAAAATTCTAGAACGCAAGTTCAATAATCCCAATGGTGTCAAAAGAAACTAGTTTCGGATATAATTCTAACCATAACATAAATTACATCAAAACTAATAAACAGGTTTTATAACTCTCGGATATTCCTGCTCTCCATCTTCTTATATAGATTATGGTCTTTGTAGTAGAATTTCATACTTTAACTTGTTAAAACATATACCACTTATTGAATGACATAGGAGTTTAAGTCATTTTGCATCTCATTAATATTGGTTTGCACATTGATGGCAGCATGATATCAATCATTAATCGCTTTAACAAGCACAAGGAGGACCATATATGGCTAAGGGATCCTGCTTCATCTGTGCAGGTAACATGGATGACCACTCCTCTAGTTATGTTAATTTTCTGCAAATGGATAGATATCTAATAGCAACCATAAAACTCCATCAAAGCATTCTAACCTCAACAGCTCCACCATTGTCTTACATGGCAAACTGTTCAATATACAATGATGTTAACATCAGTTCTTAACCTCAGTTTTATAACCTTAAATTTCGTGTACTTTGTGTAAATTATACTCTTTTTGGCCTATGAAAACTGGTTCAACAGGTGTGACAAACTACATTGACTATAGTCTAATGGTGATCCTCAGTTTATGTGTGATGATTGTTTTAAGCCCTTGAGAAAAGCTTCGCGTTTTTAACCTATCAATAAGAGAAATATATGATCCAAGAAGTCATACAATTCCAATCTAAGATAAATGAATATATAGGGTTGTGCGTAATTGCTTTTCTACGAGGTCCTTCCACATTTTGTTTTAGAATTAGTCTTTATTATAAGCCTAAATTAGCCATTATAGCACTACCTAAGCTTCATCCTTTTAAGAAGCAAAATTTAATGAAAGACAATTTTGTAAGACCAGATTAAAGCAGTGAATAGATTACATTATTAGTACATAGGTTACAATGCTTCACAAATAAAATTACTCACGTGAAATACAAAATAAATGCATAAACACTCAATAAATGGAAATACAAACAAGACCAAAGGAAAAACACGACCGCGAACTTCAACAAAGCAAGCTCAGTTTCATGAATGATGAAGACAAAATGTGAAAGATAGTAACCTTAACAAACGAGATGATCAGAAGGAGAGATGAGGGCAATTCGTCTTTAATTTTTCATTACAAATCATGTTAGGCTCACATGATGATGTCCACAATATTAACCAAGTTAGCAGCGTTTGGTTTATAAGGGGTGTCAATGTAACATGATCCCAAAACATAGTAAGTTTCCTCAATAATCTGTAAAAAGAGGATGTGCATATGTAATTAGGACAAATCTTTACTCTATATATAATTAAAACAATTATTAAATGCTCATGCATGATTCACACCAAAAAATTTGTACAAACATGTTTTCACAGAAGAACCTACCCTAATGAAACATGGAATCAGGCGATCGATGCTTTCATAACCTATTGGTTTTAAGGTATATAATATTAAACTTTCCCAGAACTTGAGAAGAATATACAACCACACTTTCAAACCTAGGAGTTTGTATCTTAATGGCCAAGCAGTGAAAATAGTACTAGTTTGGATCTTAACCTTAGAGAAGATTGATAAACTTCAAACTGCGAGTTGAGCAGTAATCATGAATATGTTCCATGAGTGATAATGGGTCGAATAAAAAACAGGAACATAAGAATAGTGGTTGGATTTTCAGTAAAACAAAAGTAAGGAAAACTGTGAAGAGGTTTTTTCTCTCCCATGATGAAAGAAAAGAAAAGAAGAATTCGTCAAGATTATTAAAAGGAAAAAATCAAGAAAGATGGAGTGCAAAGCAGAGTTCCTCAAAAGAAGAACTTTGATACTATAACAAGATGGTACGAGAGATGGTTACCAACCTTGAAAACAAACTGTCCTGAAAAACATTTCTCCAGGGCAATGAGGAAGGTAAGAAAGAAAGAGAGAGAATGAAGAACTGTGAAAAAACAAGTTTTATTTACAAATGAAAGAAATATATATATATATATACAATGAAAAATAACGAAAGGAAAAAAAAAACATTAATGATCTAGTGATAAGAGGGACAAAAGGAAGGGCCTAGCTCCTGGTAAGAGAACACTTCCAACATGCAATTTGAAGTTTATCAAGGATCAAATTAAGGAACTAGTTGACGGTTGATAGATTAAATGCTAAGTGTTATTAAATGTAAATCAACTATTTGGTGTGTAATTGTTCAGAAAATATGAGTTATCATTAATTCTTTAGAAAATGATGTTGTAAACGTCTTGTATATGATTTACTTGTTGCTGGTTTTGGCAGAGAGAAGCGGAATGCTTAAGCCAAAAACTACAACACTTGCAAGAAAGCTACAGGTAAAACGCTAAATCCCAATACTTGAATAAGGTTAAATAATTTTTTATTTTATTTTTTCAATTATGAAGAGAACTGCAACCCTTATACAAACCCATTCAAGTCTAAATTTCTTCTTACCCCGACAAAAAATATGGACAAAACATACATTCCCCACCTTATACCTTATTGCCACTACAAGCCTTTCAAAAGTGACATTTTAGATTCCATGGGGCAATACAACTTATCCCCAACCATCTTTAACACTCTTGCCAAATATTTAAGGAAATCTACAAGAAAACAATAGATCAATATTTTATATAAGTTAGGCTCTAATATCATTTTAGATTGTAGATTTAAGTCTAATTTAATTTTATAAAATCCACTTATAAAGTCAAATTTCTTCATAAATTATTAGATACGTTTTGTTTACCAACTTAAACATACATGTAAATATGTATAAACTAATTAAGACATTGAATATTAACAAATATGATATAATTTATATAATTGAAAAAAAAATCAACAAATATAATCACAGAAACATAGGAATACAATGTGTATATGATCATTATATTTTTCTATTGTGTTAATATCGCTGAATAATTCATCGTCTTATCCTACTTCTTTGTTCACTTATTAAGATCCCTAGTTTAGTTTATCCTTATTTTAGGCTTGATAGTTTTCTTCCACATGTATTCTCCTAAAGTTTCATTCTATTTGAAATCTAAATGTAAATTAAAATTCACATTAAATAAAAATAAAAAAGTTGAGTAACTTAATAAGTAAAACTCTTAAATTAATATTTTAAAATATTTTATTGAAAGTAATGTTAATATTATCTTATATGTTAATTTATATCTTATTATTATCGTATTTACCCGCAAAAATACACAAAACATTCTTCCTCTTCTTCTGTGGACTTACCCATCTCTTCCACATATCCGCACAAGCGACTGGATCTTGATTTCCTCCTATCAGTGTTACATTTGATAGGAGGTTGCTAATTAACTATATTTTATGAACAGGAGAAGATTGAATAAAATTGAAAAAATAAGCTTAAGAATTTTAAAATCCTCGATGGAACTAGAGCAAAATATAATCAAAGTTTTTGTTAATATAATCCAAAACAAACAAATTTAGTTTTAGATTGATTAAATCCACAATAAAAGTTTATAGGGGCTAAAATGAAAAACCATGTTCCTTACTAGGACTGATTAAGCCTTTGGTTCCATAACTCATTTACTTTTCCAAGTATTATTGCTTATGTATAATTTGAACATAGGAGAATAATTAAGTTGTTTGATTGAGGAAAATATACATTTAAAGGAAAGACATGTGCAATATTTAAACACAGTACATATCAAAGAAAGAAATATGGTTGTTCGAAATTACTATCACTTTTCTATACAATCTAAATGATGATATTGTGATAAGAAACTTATTGTATTTGATTTCATACTTCATATTCTGCAAATACAGGCAACTAATGGGTGAAGAACTTTCTGGTTTGGATACCAATCAGCTAAAGAATCTGGAAAGTCAAATGCAAATTGGTTTGAATAGCGTTCGAATGCAAAAGGTATTATGGTTCAAATTCAGACAAAAATCAGAGTTCCCTCTCTTGTTTCCAAAAGATCTTTCAGTAAAATTTTGTTTATAAGTTGTTTTGAACTCAAAGAAAGGAAAATCAAGAATACAATATATGTGCCATGCATGACTCATACACAATCATTTATTTCACCCGCAGGATCAAATGTTTACAGATGAGATCGAAGAATTGCAAGAAAAGGTTCCAGGCATCAGATTTTGTTATTTTAATAGGTATTTCCACTAATTTGAAATGTTCAGACCGATCTCTATTGACGCCATTATTTTTTGCAGGGAAGCTTCATTCATCTAAAAAATGAAGAACTTCATACGAAGATAGACCTTATCCACGAACAAAATGCAGAACTACAGAAGGTAAATCATCAAGAAAACCTTTTTGATCTATGTCATTCATCCTTTGAAGTATTAGTGTCATATGATGCCATGGGATTGGTGGTTGACAAAATTTTTAAGTGTCATATACTCCATCGAAAAATACTAACAAAATATATTTTTATCGTATAAAAAACTAACAATGAATAAACACAAAAGCCAAACCATTTACTCAGTAGGTATAATTATGTGCGGCTTCAAGTTTATTAAGTTAATAATGGTTTGGATCCTACCTAGGTTATTGAAGCAAGGGATACGGAAAAAGAAAAGGCAACACTATCCTCCACATGTTATCAGCAATGGATATGATGATATCACTCTTCAACAAAGCCAGCAATGATATGGGGTATTCCCTCACCCTCAAATTGATGAAAAATTAAGCGATGTAGTTAATTGTAGAGAATAATTAATCATTTGTTCTTTTTTTTTTGGATAGTTAATTGAGAAATCTTGAAAAAAAAAAAAAAAAAAAAACTGAAGCTAAGTGTGCAGTGCACTAGTTACAGCTGCATTAGGCATTTTCACCATTATGGGTCAAAAAAATTTTGATTTCACTGAACGGTCAAAAATTTAAAATTTTCTTAAAATAGGTTAAATTGTGTTAGGTAAGACGATTTTAAGTAAAATCATGCTTGAAAACACATTTTTAATTGAAATCGTGCTTGCAAACATGATTTTGATTTTTTTCTTTTAAAAAAATAATTTTCCAAAAAAATGAGTTTTTCTGACCATATTTCTGAAAAATTTCATCAAGAAGAAAGTTCAAACATGAGTCAAGAGAAATGAAAGATCAAAAGAGCTGCTACTAAATCTCAGATAAGAGCTAACAACAATGTAAACTCATTACCACCATCATTTTACGTTAAGTGGTAAAAAGTTGATATAATTATGTCTTGAATTGTTATGAAACCACTTAACTTATGTTAATTATAATATATTTTTCTCTCAATATAGGATGAATTCGAGAATACCTTGATACAAGAGTAAGGAACATAATTGGAGTAAATTGAAAGAAAGAAGAGCACTTAAGCGAATGAATGATGCGAGGCCTGGCTCAAATTCTCTTATAAAAAGATAAGTTGTGTTTTGAGAAAAGCAAGCAGTCTTGGAGGAGAGGAGGCACGACTACTGTTAGGGTTTTGTCTAATCTTCATCAATTGTTCATTTCTTCATCAATTGGAGCATTGTAATGGCCAACATGAGTGGCTAACTTTATTATCTTAAGATTCGGTGCACTTCCTTTGAACTCTTTTGTATTATGGTGATATTTTGAGATATTAATCTATGTTTTGATGTTGTTATTCTTATCATTTATACTTTGGAATGATTTATTCTTGATTGTTTGAGGTATGATTGGAAAATATATCTTGAACCTTAGATCACACGGTAAAAATATTTGTTACGTTAATTGCCAGGAATGGAATGAATGTATCAATTGCTTAACACCCTAACCCTAATGCTGGAAAATCTATTAATTGTGTGAGGAATCAATATTTATTAGGTTTTCTTATGAATTTCATGGGTGAGGAATCAACATGGATGATTTGAGTAGGTGGCATCAACATTGTTAGGTTAATTGACGTTCTTAATTGATTTAGCCATTACAAAAGAGGGATAAGGAAAGAAGTCAATCCTAAGTACCTTTAATTGATATTTTCTCAACAATTTACATTTCTTTGTCATTTAATTTCAATTCAACTCTTAATTGCAAAACTCAATCTATTTTAATCTACTTAGTAAGCATAATTGGGAATTTCCATTGAAATCGTTCCTCGTGGGATCGACTTTTATTTAATCGAAATACTATACTGCAATTGATAATTTTGGTACGCTTGCCAATAATTCAACAAGTATTTCTCAGGCGCATGCTTGGGAACGGTGTTCTTTGAGAATTCTTTGTTTAGCTTATTGAGTATTTTATTTTTATTTCTGTTTTTATTATTATTATTATCATTATCATTATTATCTCATTATAATTATTATTATCATTATTATTATTATTATTATTATCATTATTATTATCATTATTATCATTATTATCATTATTATCATTATTATTATCATTATTATCATTATAATTATTATTATCATTATTATTATTATTATTATTATTATCATTATTATTATTATTCTTATTCTTATTATTATTATTATCATTATTATTATTATTATTATTATTATCATTATTATTATTATTATCATTATTATTATCATTATTATCATTATCATTATTATCATTATTATTATTATTATTATTATTATTATTATTATTATTATCATTACCATTATCATTATTATTATTATCATTATCATTATTATTATCATCATCATCGTTATTATCATTATTATTATTATTATTATCATTATCATCGTTATTATCATTATTATTATTATTATTATTATTATCGTTATTATTATTATTATTATTTAGTTTTTAGTTTGTGTTAATATTTGTTTGAGTTACTCCTTTGATTTATGCGTTTAAGAGGACATGTATCTTCAGAGCAGTTAGAATTTAATTCAGAAATTGAAAAAACAGCTCGGAGGAACCGGGGTAGAAGAAGAAGGGACACTCAAAAAACAAGTTACAAGAGAATCTGTTAATTCTTCTTTTACATTTGATTTACCAGACCCAATTATAGAAGATATGGCGGAAGAATGAGCAAATCTGAATCCAAATCCAAATCAAAACCCAAATTCAAATCCACCTAGAAGAACTCTTAGAAATTGTGTTATGCAGCAAGGTCCAAGACATTTTTCCAGCATTGTCATTCCGGATGATCATACATACAGATGAATCCAGCTTTCTTAAGCTTGATTAGTACTCATCAATTCACTGGATTGGATCATGAAGACCGTTACATTCATTTGTCTACTTCTTATGAGTTGATTGGTACCATGGGATTTAGAACAGCAAATCTTGAATCTGCATATTTGATATTATTTCCTTTTTCTTTGGCAGGTAGGGCAAAGGAGTGGCTAAAAGCACATCCTAATCAGAGTTTGACTAATTGGAGTAGTGTAGAAGAGAAGTTTCTGAATAGATTTTTCTCACCATCCCGCTACATCAAAGCAAAATCTGACATCACTTCTTTCAGACAAGGAGCAGATGAACAATTTTGTGAAGCATGGGAGAAATTTAAATCACTGTTGAGAAGTTGCCCAAATCATAGATTTGATGACGTTTCTCAGTTGAATATTTTCTATACTGGCTTGCGACATTATGCAAAGATGCTATTAGAGGCTGCAGCAGGAGGATCCATGTTGGATGTAGAAATTGATCATGCCACAAGAATTATTGATGCACTAACTTTTACAGACCAACAGGCCCAACATGATAGACATCCAATTCAAAAGAATGAAGTTCTTAAACTTAACAGCTTAGATGTTATCTTAGCCCAGAATAAACTTATAACGCAACAAATTGAAGCATTGACCCAGAAAATAGAGAAATTACCTCAACAAATACACACAGTACAATCTATTCCTAATCAACAGATGAGTTGTGACGTGTGTGGAGGTGATCATGCAAATGAACAATGTTCTTATCAAGGCAACATTCAACAAGAAGAAGCTAATTATATGGGTGCCCAAGGTAGTAGTCAAGGCAGACAAGGTAATTTTCCTAATCCTAATAATTATCAGAATAATACTGCACAAGGATGGAGAGGGAATCAGAATCAGAATTTTGGGTGGAAACAAGGTGTTAGCTCATCTACTAGACAACCTGCATTTCAACAACAGTCATATCAACAACCTCCATATCAACAGTAGCAACAGCATTATCCTTCAGTGCCTGACAGAATAAGTAAATTGGAGGATATTGTAGAAAAATTCATGCAAGGTACTATGGCTAATCAGAAAAATATTGAGGCTTCATTTAGAAATATAGAGACCCAAATAGGCCAATTGGCTAAGCAATTATCTGAGCAGCAACAAGGAGGACAGTTTTCAGCTAACACACAAACCAACCCCAAGGAGCAATACAATTCAATAACTACAAGAAGTGGAAAAGTTGTAGGTAAGGGGATTGGTGACAATATAGTTGTTGAAGAAGAAGTTTTGGTAAAAGAAGATGAAAAGCAAGAACAGGAGAATAATAAAGAAAGACATATTCCTAATAAGAATAACGAAGAGAAGATAGAAAAAGGAGGGAGTCAAAAACCATTTGTAGAGAAGTTACCATATCTCAAGGCTCCTTCATAGATAAATAAAGAAAAACAGTTTGCAAGATTCATGGATATTTTCAAGCGATTTCAAATTAATATATCATTTGTGGAAGTTATGGAGCAAATGCCAACATACGTCAAATTCATGAAAAAGCTCTTAACTAAGAAAAGAAGATTTACTGATGAAACAGTAGAGTTAGAGCCAGGATGCAGTGCTATATTCCAAAAATCATTGCCTCAAAAGTCCAAGGACCCTGGAAGTTTCACTATACCAGTCACAATTGGTGAATTACCGGTGAAAAAATCATTACTTGATTTAGGGGCCAGTATAAACCTCATGTCATTATCTATGCTTAAAAGAATAGGAGACTTGGAAGTAAAGCCTACAAGAATGACATTACAGCTAGCTGACAGATCTGTAAAGATTCCTTATGGAGTAGCAGAAGATGTTTTAGTTAGAGTGGATAACTTCATATTTCCTGTTGATTTTATGATTATGGACATGGAGGAAAATGAGGAAGTCCCATTGATCCTGGGAAGGTCATTTATGAAGACTACCAAAGTAATTATAGATGTTGACATGGGCAAGTTGAAAATTAGAAGTGAAGATGATGAAGTTAATTTTAATCTATTTGAAGTTGTACAACAACCGGAAGACAAGAAAGATTGTCTCAGAATAGACACTTTGGAGGAATTAACCATCTCAACTGAAAAACAAGATTACAAGCCTGTTGCACAACCCCAAAGACATCTTAGTCTAACTATGAAGGAAGTTGTTCAAAGAAAGGTACTGAAACCTCCTGAAGCAGGTATGATTTATCCAATCTCTGACAGTTGTATGGTTATTCACAATGAAAAGAATAAATTCGTTCCCACAAGGACCGTCAAGGGATGGAGAATGCGTATATATCACCTTGATCACTCACCCGCATGAGCCCTAAAGCAAATAGACGTCGAGCTGAAGACGTTAAACAAGCGCTCCTGGGAGGCAACCCAATGTTTTGAATTTGTTTTTTTTCTTTTTGCAGTTTAAGTTGTTTTGTACATTTTTCTTCCTTAGGTTCTTTCTTTGCAAGATTGCTCCAGGTACACAGTGCACTTCTCCTCAAGACTTTGAAACCTTACTTCAATGGCCTGGGGACAGTCCAACTTTTCTGGAGGGGGTGAGAAAGTCTGCAGTTGAGACTGAGGCACAAGATAAGGAGTACATG